TTCACTTCTCGTCCAAGAAGCACGGGAACTCAATTTTTCTAACCCTGAAAGGTTTCCAGATCCTTTTTCTCTCCTCTCTGTGCATATAAAGAAATTTGTGGTTTCTTTTTGGGGGGAATTATTGTACCTTCTTTTACGTCAACCTTCACAGCTAAAGTCCGAGAAGCTTCAAGATGAAAAATCCAAGCTGAGAAGCAAAACGTCTTCCAAGAAAAACCAGAAAGTCTCAGTTGACTCTTAAAAAAGAACCTCTGGGACAACCATGAACCTGGAGAACGGCAAATCTTCCTAGACTTCAAGAAGGAAAAGGCTCTGCTTGTATACGGAGCGTGGGCCATTTCATGATCTCCAAATCTTGACGGCCTCCTCCAAGGATTATCAGATCCAATCAACACGATGAGTGGCAAGAAACTGTGGGGGGTTATAGTCTAAAGCAGGGGTCTCTGATCTTGGCAACTTTAAGACTTGTGGACTTCAACTCTGGGAGTTGAAGTCCACAAGTCTTAAAGTTGCAAAGGTTGGAGACCCCTGGTCTAAAGTATCTGGAGGCTATTAGATAGCTTAGCATGGGTCCTATCTCCTTGAACACCTAACTTTGGAACCCCTACAAATCATGGTGTGATTTCTTCTACTGATATGAGAAAGTTTAACGTGAGAGACCTAAGCAGGAAACTTTATTCACGTGATCCAATTCTCCTCTGTCCTCCACTACAGGGAATATATCTCTTCCTGTTATATGGGTGTGCAAAGATGCCATATTGATCACACAACTCATAAAGTATTCCCTCTTTCACGGCTCACAAAAATGTATTAACAATTGCAATAGTACTTGGACTTATATACCATTTCGCAGTGCTTTATAGACTTCTCTAAGAGTATTGCCTCCAACAGTCTGGGTCCTCTTTTTACTGACTTCGGAAGGATGGAAGGCAAAGTCAACCTTGAGCCAGTCAGGATCGAACTCTGGACAGTAGGCAGAGTTAGCCTGCAATGCTGCAGTCTAACCACTGCGCCACCAGGTAAAAATGTATAATTTTTGTATACCTGGGGATGAATACCTTGGCACGTAGATCTATCGGCTGTGTTTGAACAGGGCCTTATCTTTCAGCGTGCATGTGAAGAAAAGCTTAATTATACTTGAACAATTAATTCTGCTACATAAGCAGGTAGAGAAATGCCGATAAAAGACATTTGTTGTTTTATTTTGACCAACCACGAGGGATAGAGTTGAAGTCCACTAGTCTTAAAGTTGCCAAGGTTGGAGACCCCTGGTCTAAAGTATCTGGGGGGCATTAGGTAGCTTAGGATGGGTTTCTTAGAGCCTGACGAATTTAGAGGAAACTCTGGCATTTTCTGGAAATGCAGTGAACGCCCTAAAAATTAGGACTGTAAGAAAAACGGGAACATTTTACCAATTTTGTGATCTCTTAAGAGGCATCAATAATGGAGGTGCTTTTGTTTTTCAAGAGGCAACTGGTCATTCTTTGTTTTTCCTTGAAGATGTTTCACTTCTCATCCCAAAAGCTTCTTCAGTTCTGGCTGAATTGATGGAGAACAGAAAGATTTATGTGTCAGTCAGAGCTGAAGAAGCTTCTTGGATGAGAAGTGAAACGTCTTCAAGGAAAAAACAAAGCCCAGTTGCCTTTTGGGGGGTGGGGGGGAAGCACCTTTGGAACAATCCTGTCCTGTGTGATGGAGAATCTCCATTGGCAGTTAACATGTGGAGCCAAAATGTAGGATTTCTTTGGCTTGGGAGGATCTTGGGCAATTGGTTTGGCTGAACCGGTAGTGAGTTTTACTACCAGTTCATCTGAACTGGTCCAAACTGGTAGAATACCACCCTTTCCTCCATCCTTTGAATCTCCTTCCCCAAACCCTCATTGGCTCTGCCTTCCTCGGAGAGCTGGCCTCCACCTGTCTCAACCCCATGAATGGGAAGACGTAACAGGAATGGACTCCTCTTGTAATGGTGCAGGTGGAGTTGGAATCCAGAGAAGTGATGGACGATGATGACTTGGGACAGACACGATGTGAAATGAGATGATGCACAAATTCGTTCTTTTTTTTTTTTTTTAGCAGCTTGTACTAGGTCAGCCCAGAAACTTACAAATGGACTCTACAATTCTGAAAGCTCCCACAGATTTATGGGGGCTCCTAAGGCCATAACAGTGCATAGCTAAATCATAGTAAAGAAGGAAGAAAGAGCCACTGTTTCGTAAGGGGGGAAAAAGGACATTAAAAAAAAACTTAATATACATTTAACAACCTTACAATAGGGTGTGCATCTTAGGTATAAAATTTCCACTGGCCTTTTTTTTATTATTTTAGTCACCTCATAATTTATAATAAATAGTTAATCACAACTGATAAATATGCCTCTTTTCAGTAAACAAAGGAATGAAAGTTAGTGTTTATACAGGATGTATACATTTAAAGTCATAGAACACTGCCAATGAAAAGCTTACTGGCTTCAAGAAAGAGTGTTCAGAAACACAGAATTATTTTAAAAGCAGAACTGTGCTCTGTACCACAACAATTTGTTTTTTTTTATCAAATTAAAGCCACAGCAGTGAAAAGAAAGCAGAATTTTTTTATAAAGATTTCTGACTTCTAGTTTTGAAACTATCGATAGATAAAATAAAAACTTATCTTGATTACACTTTAAGAAGCAGTAAATAAAATAATGAGATCTCCTAGAAAAAAAATGAGAAATATCTGCCACCCCCCACACACTTTAATAAATTTTATGTATATAAAAGCACTAAAGATATGCAAAAAAGGAAGGGAGGGAGGGGGGGAGGGAGGGAGGGAGGGAGGAAGGAAGGAAGGAAGGAAGGAAGGAAGGAAGGAAGGAAGGAAGG